CCTAATATATTCAAAAAAGTAGGATGAACTTAATAGTCTCTTTACAGTTTGAATGCATATGATTTTCATTATACTGATGAAAATCACCGATTGTTTCCAGATAATACATCTTTTACAGTGCAACTTACTTATTATCCTGCATTTAATAATTTAAGTGATTTGGTTAGTGTTGATATAATACCTCCTTCATCAAGTAAACTTTCATTTATTTCCATGTTTAAGGTGTGAAATTGTACACAAATATTTGTTTTCTTAGAAAATGGGAACGTTTTATTGACTATAAATTAGATCGTTAAAATTATTTGTTAACTGTTCTTAATATTATATAGTTGAAATCATGAGTCAATTGAAGCTAGACCACCATGGAAAATCTGGAATCACTGGACAGTCGTTTCGTCCTATTGTAGAATTCCTCAGCAGTGCGCATCCACGATCTCGCCTCGCGAGATTCGAACCCAGGACCTTAATATTATTGAAATAAATCAGAACAAGAAAATCTGTTTAGTCTTGACATATCATATTCAACTATAGTTAGAAAGATATTCATCTCCATTTTATAAATATTTCCAATGATTTCAGTATCACATAATTTTATAAATATACATTAATGGTGATGTATTTTTCATGGACAAAGAAAGTTAAAGCTAAAAGTCCACAAAAGAATAAATATTTTGAATATTTAGTGCGCTATCTCTATCCTTAATCACTTATCGAATGATAATATAATGTTCATCTATTGCATCATACATAGCTTTCAATTATCCATTTCCATATTTTAGTGTTTTCTGCCATCTCATCTGGTCTCCCAGTGTTCTGTCAACACCATGCTTTCGATGCACTAAAACTCTTTACTCCATCTGACAATTATTGCAATTTCAACATCATGTTTCGTGTAATACTACTTACAAACAATCTTGTGAGTAGACGTCACTATACTACAATCTTAATATGCTCACTAGTGACTGACTTCAAGAGATATTTCCTTGAGTTCTAGTGGGAAGCAGTGACCAGTGGAGTTCTACCTGGTCTGTTGTAGACATATCATCTCACTGAAGACAATTGGTGAACGGTCGCTCAAAATCGTGGGTTGGTTGAAGTTAGACATTAACATCATTGGATGCCGGCTCAGTGGTCTATCGGTTAAGGGCTTCGGTTCGAGACTGGTAGGTCTTGGGTTCGAATCTCACGAGGAGGAATCATGGATGCGCACTGCTGAGGAGTCGCACAATAGGACGAAACAGCGTCCAGTGCTTCCAGGTTTTCCATGGTGTTCTAGCTTTAATTGACTCATGATCTCAACTCTATAAAGCTACTAAAATCTTCACAAAACCCTTTCTAATAATTCTTTATACTTAAGAATCGAAATGGATATATGTATATATAATTTGACCGAATATAAAGTTCTTAAATGTATCTTGTGACCTGCAGAAAAAGAAGTGATACTCCCATAAAAATGAGTTGCTTTTAGACTTTTTCTTTAATGTAAAGGCGCTTTCTTTTCTTATACGTTATTTGTCTATTTTGTCTTTCCTTGTATACAATAGGTGAACAATAAACATTTGACTTAGTTTTCGAATGATCATTCAAAAACAAAAATAACGCCTGGATTATCAATAATTTTTCGAATAGAAGAAAAAGGGAAATAAAAATTAATGAGAAGAAATATCAGACTATTTAAAGATATAAGTTACAACTACATTATATATGTGCCACACAAAAAATTGCCATTTTATTAGTTTGTCTGAGGGCTATGATACTGAGCGGGTGCCCAGACCGAAACAAGTGGTTTTCTTAGAAGGCCACACCCGGAGCCTTCGACCTAAAGATCTGATCCATAAGGCAGGAGAACATCGTGAGGAGATGTAGTCCCATGGTAGCCAGTGACCAACAATTGGTTTATACGTCATTTGTTCTCTCAGGATACTGGAGTCCATGTGCATCATTTTTTTTTGGAATCAGGGTTTTCCAACTCATTTAGGTGGATATTCCGTGTCCACCAACCCGGTTAAAGCACCGGACATTCGCTTTTCGTCCTCTCAATTTGTAAACAACACCTGTGGTTCTAGAAGGCAGTGAGTAGGACTTCCCTGACAGAGGCTATATACGTGTGGCCATGTGAAAGCATTTGGAGATGGAGAGCGAACTCTCCTCATCGTCGGCCGTACCAGGGCATTTGGGGGCATAAGATTCATGAAATGATTAGGATTCATTTTTATGATATTGTCTTTCAGTTATATCAAATTAGCTATTCATTTTTTCAATAGATGATCTTAACATGAAATATATGAAATGATGTAGGTTGACTGTGCAGTTAACTCTTTAAATTTAAACATCTTTTCTATGGCGAATTCAAAGTTAATGTAACATGAAATACTTATAATCTAAGAGTTGAACACATGAGTCGATGTAAGTCAGTCCACCATGGAAAACCTGAAAGCACAAGACGGCCAACTTATCTTAGTATGGGACTCCTTAGCAGTACGCATCTGCGATCCCAAACGCGGAACTGAAACCCATGACCCTCGATCTCACGAGCAAACACTTAACCTCTAGACCATTGTGCCGGTCAGCATCCAACGGTATTAATGTCTAACTCCAACCAATCCACGAAATTATGCCACCGCCCATCATTGACTTGAATAAATAATTGGATGCGCACTGCTGAGGAATTGCTTACTATGATGAAACCGTTGTCTAATGCTTCCAGATTTTCAATGATAGTGTAGCTTAAACCCATTCAATAATTCAACTATTGAATTACTACAATCTCCATAAACATTCATTCTGGCATGTATAATCTCTTGTGTTTTACAATCACTGACTCTTTATCTTCTGTTTCACTCATATTCAGATTAAATACTATTATCAATGTGATTAAGATTACGTCACTTCTGAATTTTCTGTAATTACTATCGTTTTCATAATTCCCATTATCGTAATCATAATAATTTACATATATTTCTTCTATAAGATGACATCAAACTATCTTCCTTTATTTCATTTACATTTAATTCATTCACTTGTGAATCAAAATTGAATGAATATAGAAACGATTAGTAATTAACTTTTCACTAGGGAAATCAATGTTACTACACCTAATGTTAAACAAATAGTTACCAAGTGAAACATTCTATATATATAAATTTGTATAAACAAATCTATTCGTATATGGGTTACTTAGGAGACACTTGATTCTTGATCGATTTATATATCAGAACTTTCGTCCAAATTAGAGCGAATAGTATCATAGTATCTAGGCGCCAAATTGATGTAAGACATTCACAATTGATTGATCACTGGGTGGTGATCAATCTCATGCGTGTCAGGTCCTTAGTGCTGATCGAATGCTATCGATCAAGTTGCAATGTGGCCATCAGTCTAGGTGGCTCGACACTGCGGGCACTATATATATTAGGGTAACATGGTGGTTGGAGGTGGTCAACAGGAAACCCTGGACCCGGGTTTCGTGCTACTTGGCACTCGTCAGCAAGGTGTACCTGATGTAAGACATTAAATAGAAATAATATTTTTTGTAAAATCTCAGCGAATGAATCTGAAGTGAATCCAATGTTTCGCCTGACAATCTGGTCCAAGGAAATATAAATGACAAATATTCAAGTTTCATTGAAATCATGAACCGATCAATGTTAGACCATTGTTAAAGACTTCGGAGTACTGATTGTCTGTTTCGGCTCAGTAGGGAATCCCTCAACTACTAAGCCGTTGTTTGACGGTGTTAATGTCTTACATCAACCAATCCACGATATTATGCAACGTTTGAGGAGTCTCATACTAGGACGAAACGGTCGTCCAGTGCTGATCAGATCATTATTTCAATAAAATTCAATATTCTTCATAACCTCAAACTGAAAAATATTTAAGTCATTTCCAACTTTTAAGCAAAATAAAAATATTTTTTAAAAGCTAATCAATTATTTTGATCTTCGTTCCTACAAGTGAATGATTTTATTTCATAAACTTCCATTAGCTTATGGGCTGTTCCTCTTCTCTGAACATACCATGAATCAGATTTCAATCACTGATGAATAGTAAATTTTCACTTCATTTTTGGTATATACGTGTATATACTGGTCCCATGTATCATGGTGATTACTGGGTAACGTTCCTAGTATTGTCTGATTGTTCATAGCATGAAATTAATTGCCATTTCCAACATTAGAAATCACTCGATTATAAAACATGATTCACTCTAGTCTCTTAAACATGTTATGAAAACTTTGGCATAACTAAAAATAACTATCCTGTGTTCACTTCAGACCTATCATCAGTGTAAATTTGCTCAATTGATTACATTTATAGTCGGTTAGTGTCATTATTATCATTGTAATCATTATCAAGTCTCCTTTAAAAGAAGTAACCGACAATGAAACTATCAAAATTTATAACCCTTTTTTCTATTTAATACTTATGAGGTTAGTATAAAAATCTTAGAGGGATTTGTTGTTTAGGCTTGACATTTTCGATATTGTTACTGAATCGGTTAGATCACATTCGGTATTTTTGATCTTCTTACTTTTTATGTGTTTATATAAACCAGTTCACCAAAGTATACAATGTAAACAAACATGGATGCTTATAATGCTTGTCACGTAAGGCAATATCGAGGCAATTCCTCATAGAATACATATATGCCAATAGGAGACTGATCAATTGCAGATCTAAACATCAATGGGAAGATTCAAGTAAACAATACCAAGTGAATTTAAAGAACAGATACTTTTAAAAACTAACTGTATACAAGAATTTTGTCAGTAATAATCAGTCACTTCAGAGTTAAATGACTGATTTAAACGGCTTTCATTGTTAGTCTGGACAATATCTGCAGTGCTTATTGTGTTCACATTGTATTGAGATTTTCAGTAACCCAACAAGTATTACATCAGCTTTGTCCTGTAATATCTAGCAAAACTATTAAACAATTATTATTTACAACCGATTTAAAACAAATCACCATATTAAAAAAGAAAAAGAGAACTTACCATCTTGATCGAAATGATTCCAGACATCACCAAATTGTGAAGCTGTAAAATTACGAAATTTTTTTGTATTTGGATCAAAATAATTTAATAAACAATTTCCAGATCGATAATTTTCCATACGTCTTGCTTCAGGTATTTCAGTTTGTAACGCTTCACCAGGAGTCATACTTAAACGTCGATAAGCCATTAGTCTATTATCAGGTATGTATATGTGTTATAATAGATACTATTATTATCTTTATCAATTATGTGGAAATGATCTGGTTGTTTGATTTCCCATGAAGAAGAAAACAAAATGAAGTTAACATTATTGTACCGAACAAACTAACAAAAAAAAGATTTGGGAAAAAATTTAATTTTAATTAGCCAATCGGAAGTGAGCAGATAAAATTTGATTGGTCAACATAGATGATCAGGTAATATAATGAAAATGATATCTTTTGACTAATAACATTTTGGATAAAGCTATGGTATATGGATCAAAAATGCGAATTGAAGGTTTTCAGGCGAAACTAAAATTTCAGGGATGATAAGTGGTAGAAATACTTCAGTAAGCTAATCAAAATGTTAAAATGATTACAAAAATTACATTTGCCACCAGAGAGTTAAATAAGTGTTAAATGTGACAAATACTTAATTATCTCTTTAAATTGTACAAATTAATCGATACTTACTTACTTACTTGCTTTCGTCTGTTAGTCCCAATGGAGCATAGGCCACTGACCAGCATTCTCCAACTCACTCTGTCCTGGGCCTTCTTTTCTAGTTCTATCCAGTTCTTTGTTCATTCTTCTCATGTCTGTCACTATTTTTCGGCTTAATGTGTTCTTTGGTCTTCCTCTTCTCCTTTGGCTTTCAGGATTCCATGTGAGGGCTTATCTTGTGACGCGATTGGGTGATTTCCTCAAAGTGTGCCCAATCCACTTCCAGCGCTTCTTCCTGATTTCTTCCTCGGCTGGAATCTGGTTTGTTGTCTCCCACATTAGGTTGTTGCTGATAGTGTCTGGCCAACGGATCCGAAGTATCTTGCGTAGACAGCTGTTGATAAACACTTGTATCTTCTGGATGGTGGTTTTCGTAGTTCCCCACGTCTCCGCCCGAAAATCGATACTACCCTAAATATTCAGTCCTGAAACAAACCTTAACCCAGAAAGATTAGATCTTATGAAAGGACAAATCAGACAATGCATTTCGCATTTACCTGCAAAATTCGTTCGTTTATATGACTACAGATTGTTGCTGTATTATACCAGGTGTCAGTTTGTGATAAAAACTCTCATTTTAAATGCCTTATCCCTACCTTGAATACCTAACGAAAACTAGGAACAATATCGAGATTGGAAAATCTATTCGTCTCAAGAAGATGAATAGTCTACATCCATAAGGTAGAATTTATATATAGTTGTTTCGTCAATTTACATACACAGTAACCTACAGAAAACTTTAACGAATACATGAAGTATGTTAAGTCTGTCCATAGTTTGTAATGTTCCTGTTCTCTTTTTTATAAAATGTCCATGTGGTTAGTGTATGACATAGTGTCGTGGTATGAAAGGAAGATGTACAGGACTGGCTTTTGTGGGTCCTTCATGACTGCCTGGTTGAGGTCCTCGAGATGGTGTAACACAGTGACCAGAGACGTTATCAGATATCGCTCAGAATAAAAGCCAGTGGCGATCCTACTGTAACTTTCTTTTACTTTATCCATAAAAAATGAAAGTAACTTCTTTAACTGGAAGAATTCTCTCAGAATGTATCTTTGTTAACTGAACTGTCATTCCCATTATTTCTTTATCATTCACTAATTTTTGTTCATTACTGTTCCCTTTCTTCTTATACACACTTTACATTATTTATCTTCCCACATTCCCATTGTTATTGTATGTCACATATGTATTTGATGTACTTTTGTACCAATATTTATGTGTTCAAATAAAATAAATAAAATATATCAAAATATCCATTTGCATATTTTTCTGTTTAGGTAAGATCAGGCTGAAAATTTGTCCCAGTTTGTTTAAGCTTGCTCCAAATTACAATTTATTGATCACTGAATGGTGATCAATGTCATGCGTGTCAAATCCTTCTTAGTGTAGATCGAATGCTATCGAACAAGTTGCAGTGTGGCCACTAGTCTAGGTGATTTGATACTGGGTCCACTATGTTGAGATAAGACGGTGGTTGGAGGTGGTCAACAGGAAACCCTGAACCCTGGTTTCGTGCTACTTGGCACTCGTTAGCAAAGTGTACCTGTAATCTTGAGGGAACTGGTGCTCCCCAATGGATTCAATCCTGTGTCACTCAGCTTCACAGTAAGAAACGTTACCACTGAGCTATCCGAGCCGTGACCGACCTGCTGTTGGACTGAGACACACATGACATTGATCACCTTCCAGTAATCAATCAATTGTGATTACATCTCAGTCCAGGGCTTCCTGTTGACCACCATCTTATCTCAACATTGTTCCTGATTATATAACGTCCATACAATAAAAAAAGTTACTGATTTGACTCTTTATGTTGAAGATTCTTCTTGATCTTAGTGCTAATTACTATTTTTTAATGTCTGAAAATGAGTGAAAAAGAATTAATTTCCGCTGAGTAAATACAATACTTATCTTCATTATGATTGTTTTATGGTTGAATTATAATATTACAAATGCTCTTATTACATTTCTTATTGCTTCAGATAATCTTTATTGTAAGAATACGCCCTTCATATCTATAAGGCTTCATTTTAATATTCTGTCAGTATATATATATATATATATATTTAAACACATAAATATTGGTACAAGGAAGCACCAGATATACATGCGCCGCACAAATCTCATTCGATTTGTGTGAAGGCTGTGATACTGCACAGGTGCCCAAACTGAAGCAAGTGGTTTAATTAGGAGGTCACACATCAGGACTTTGACTTAATGATCTGATCCACAAGGCAGTGGAGCATCGTGAGCAGATGCAGTCCCACGGTAGCCGGTGACCAACGATTGGTTCATACGCCATTTATTCCCTCAGGATACTGGAGTCAATGTGCATCATTGGTTTGGAATCAGGGTTTTCCAATTCCCCTAAGTGGATGCACCGCGTCCACCAACCGGGTTAAAGCAATGGACATTCGTTTTTCGCCCTCTCAATTTCGTGAACAACACCCGTGGTGCGAGAAGACAGTGAGTAGGACTTCCCTGGCAGAGACATGCATATATATATATATATATATATATATATTCATAGTTGAAACCATGAGTCAATCGAAGCTAGACCACCATGGAAAACCTAGAAGCACTGGACGGCCGTTTCGTCCTATTATGGGACGCATCAGCAACAACTTATTGAAGACAATTGGTGAACGGTTGCTCTAATTTCGTGGATGGCTTGAAGTTAGACAATAACAATGTTGGATGCCGGCTCAGTGGTCTATTGATTAAGAGCTAACTCGCAAGACTGATAGGTCCCGGGTTCAAATCTCACCAAGCGGGATCGTGTATACACACTGCTGAAGAGTCCCAGACTAGGACGAAACGGCCATCCAGTGCTTCCAGGTTTTCCATGGTGGTCTAGCTTCAATTGACTCATGATCTCAACTACATATTCAACTTGTATTGAACGTTTAAAAAGGATGAGTAAAAAGAAAATATAACATGCAATTAGAAATACAGCACAAATTTATACATTTTAGTTAAAACAGTGAGCTATGTTATTATCTAACACTGTTATGAAACTCTAATCAAATATTTCATTAAACTATAATTAAAAGAATTGAATTAGTATTGTTTACTTAAATCTCCTCATTGATATTTAAGAGATTGATCAATTGCATTCCTAAACATCAATGGAATGATTCAAACAAATAATACAAAAATGAATCGAAACTTCACCTCATTGCACAAGTTAGTGGCTATCTGAACTTAGTAGCGAAGTGAATAACGAGATGTCGTTTGAAGTGGACTGTACAGCATCCGAGTCCCAGAGTGAACATCAACTGTGGAATGGAAGTACACCCAACTGATGAGTCCCAAATAGGACGAAACTCACGTCATGAATTCCACTGTTAGCCACTATCCATCTTTGCTTGTAATTAAAAGAATTTCACCTCATTTAAACTTAATGTATGTTTACTTTCTCTAAATCCTTAAAGTAATTAATGTAAACATTAGAAATAAAATCTTAAAACTTGACTACAATAATCATAAATTTTGTATGGCATCTGATCTTCAACTCCGAAGGAGTTGTAAAGTATGTCGAAACAATTATCTAGTCATTCCAGGTTTACATCTTTTAACAAATTTATATGAATCCTCAGTAAGAACTATTTTTAAACAACAAGCTCTCAACTATGACAAAAGAATCTGTCAGTTATTATGAATTCAAAACTTACTTCATATTGTGGTGGTCGATATTCGATATTATCCTTAACTTTGCATATTGTTCGTCCTGATAACTGTTACTTGATAACGCCCCGACGGTGTATAAATCAGAAGGCAAATACGGAGCGTTGATTGCGTTTATTATTGAAGCACACACAGATATCCAAAATTACAGGCACATTAAGCAAACATGAAAGAGTAGTGCTATAAAGCAAGCAAGTGAGCACGTGAGTCAAATGAGCGAGCGAGTGATCGATTGATCGAGTAAGCGAGTAAGCGAGTACAGTGAATAAGCGAGTCAGAAAAAAGGACTAAGACGTACATATATATATACAAATGGAAATGCATCAATCATCGAAACAATTAAGCTATTAATAGTAAGGCTAACAGAATGAACATATACGTAGGCAGTAAGCAATGCTCAAGCGTACATAATGAAGGTACAATAGTATAGATAGATTGTTATCGTACGAACGACTCTGTTCGTTAAATAAGTTAACAAAAGGACTTAACCAAATTAGATATGAACAAACTTAATTGTACGTGAGCTGCTATAATATGTTTATCAATTCAAATGGACACACAATATCATCAAAGATAAATGAAATTATCAGTACAAGTGATAGAGTAATTGAAGAGAGACCAGTATGATTAGTCGGAGAAAAGATTACGCCTTCACGGTATAACACAAAAAGAATTAAAGAACTAGTATAGTTAAAAAAAATGCAAGATACTCTAAAAAAAACATCAACGTCTAAAGGATACGAAGCATGGAGTAGAAGTCTCGATACTGTAGAACATTATAAGCATCAATGCG